TTTCGAAGACCAGAAGCGCGAGAAATAGCGGCCAAAGGAGTCGCGAGAAGAGCATTGTTGCGATGGATTTGAATTGAAATTCGCGAAAATCACGCGATTTATAGACCGTTGGAAAAGCGGTCAACAAATCTCGCGAAACAACACTTGTTTTGAACACATTTTTGACACAATTTTCACATATTTTTTAATCGCGAGAAAAATACATAATTTTTTGGATATATTTGTAATAAAAATAGAAACAAAACGAAATTTATGGCACTTTTGGTCGAAAGGCGTGAAAAGGGGGCAAAAAGGGGCCAAAGGAGGGCCCGCCCGCACGACTAGCCCCTGACCTCGCGCGACAGACAACAGGCGCTCACAATAATGAGCAGTTGGATGAGGACGAGCGCGATGGCGACGCCTCCCAGACCTCCCATATAGTTGGTGAGCGTGTGCTCAAGTTTGTCGGCGCAGCCCTCCTTCCACTTGACCTGCGAGCGGCTACAGGTCTCTTTGGCCAAGTGGTCTTTGTTGGCTGCCCATTTGTCGCAACAACTCGAGGGAACGCCGGCCGCGTCGGTGTAGTCCCGATCTCCCTTCACTCCGCAACACTCGAACGTCATCTGGAACAACTGAATGCTTTTCGCCACGTCATCGGTCGTTCCATCGTTCCACTTCTGGAAGTTCTTGGAAATCTCGTCCTTAATGTTGTCCTGGATCTGTTGGAAGCGGAGGTCAGGTATTGACCGACAGAACGGCTTTCTCGTGACATACCTTTCCTTTGTCGCGGAGCACAAAGTACGCGCCGACGCACTGCAGGACCACCAGAATGAGGATCAGTCCGCCGTACTGGAGGAGTGGTGGACAGCATTAGTGGTGGAAAGGAAGACAGCAATAAGAGACCTACCGTTGAGAGCATACAGGAGTTCTGTTTTATGGCTCCGCAGCAGCCGAGGAATGCGAGCACGAAGATGAGGAATCCGGCCGCCAGCACCACAATGGCGCCCGTCTTCAGGTTGTTGTGGTAAATGTCTTCGAGATCTCCGCTCCACATGGCGATTTTGAAGCCGAGCCATAGCACGACTCCGCCCAACAGCTGCCGCGAGAAAGCAAGTCAGCGATTGGTCGCGAATTCAAACTTTCAAATCTCTACTCACGAGCCATAAGATGTTGAAGAGAAAGAGGAGATACTTGATGAGAGTGGCGCCGCACGAGATGCCCATCGCTGTGATTGTTGTCTTCGTTTGTTGTGTTTTGACAAAAGAGACGCACTTTTAATAGAAAGCAAATCAACTGTTGTTTGTGT